GCTTAGTTCATTTTGCTGACATGATGAAAGCATTGAGTTAGCTATGGGAGAGAACATCAAAGTTTCACCAAGGTAAAATGATGCCTTATTAAGTGCGTAAAGGAGTTCTGCTTGTTTTGTGTTCTGTATTCTGTTAATTCTCCTACAGTTACACACATCAGGGACAATGATCAGAGAAGGGATATGGCTGCTTCCATTGAAGTTTCTGTGTGTCTTCCTCTTCTCACTCCAACAGAAGGAGGAGCACTGAGAGCAGTCATAGGAGCACCGGAGGAGCACACAGCTCTGCTGCATGCACCTTTAGTTTCTCCAGAACTTCCTTTAGTGTAGAGCAGAGCATGTACCACGCCTAGGTTGACATTTAAAACAATCATTGAAAGCATTTTCCTTCTGTTCACTGGAATCTACCTTCCTGTATCCACCACCTCGGCTTTGCTTTCTATATAAAAGTTCATGAAAAAAACCTTTAATGAAAACTTTTCTAGGTACCCAAAAGTAACTATCCTATTTCCTCCAAATATTTTCTATCTTTAATTCATGGTATTTTTCTAAGCATTTTTCATGAGAAAAGTTTCAGATCTCTGCCCATTCTGAGGCTCTCTGAAAAAGCATCCATGACAGAATTCATTTCTCTTATTATAATTAAAAAACATTCCCATTTTCTAAGAATATGATACATCCCCAAAGTGTTTAAAATTACTTGGTAGTAGAAAAGAGTACATTCACTACTGATTTCTAATGTGGAGAAAGATAGAGAGGGTTCATGCCTCATTAAGAACATGTTTTTCTGTTTTGTGTATTGTACATGTGTGGGAGGGTGTACACACTTGCCACTGCTTATATGTGGAAGTCAAATGTGTGAGTCAGTTCTTTCCTTCCACCATGTGGGTCCTGGGGACTGAGCTCAGGTTATTAGTCTTAGTGACAAATGCCTTTATCACCTGACTGGCCCTCAATAATGCATTTTCAAGGCAAATATTTTCAAGCATATCTGTCTGTTTTTAATCTTTCCTGTTTCTATGATAAAATACCTCAGACTGGGTAATTTATAAAGAAGTTTTTTGGCTCACAGTTCTAAGTTCAAAAGCATTGCACTGGCATCTGGTGAGGCTCTTCTCATTGCACAATAACATGGTAGAGGACATTGCATTGTGAGACACAGCAAGCATGCCAGCTAGAGTTTTTCTTACTCCCTCTTACAGAACCATTAATGCTATCTTAGGCCTTGTCCCGGATGACCTAGTCTTAATACTAATTATTTCCTAAAGAGTCTACCTTCTGCTAGCATATGAATTTAAGTGTTAAGTTTTGAACACATGAACTCCTGGGGGTCACATTTAAACCATGGGGGAAAAAAAATCAAGGTTAGAAAGCTAAGGAAGTTTCTTCAAACCTTCCTTACCAGTGGGTACCAGTGGGCAGACCCATCAGCTGATCTCAGTCTGGTAATTTTGGAGCACTATTCATACATGAACAAAACAGTCTTGCAAATGAAATCTGTGTGGATCAAATAACCTTCAGCAAAATCACATTTCACAGAAGCAGGCTGTGGCTACATGAGCAGGCTTGACAGCACACCTCATTGTTGGGTCATGTTGAGTTTAAAGAGAAACTTTATGTTTTACGTAAATGATTATTGAGCCTGGTGCCCTTCCGACCAACACATTTCTTTGCACTTGATCCTCTCTAATAGAGTCAAGTTTCATTTCCATTCAGGCTAACTGTTAAGGCACCAGCTCTGCCTCACAAGAAACCAAGATTCTGACACTTGAGACCTTAGTCTCTAAAAACTCTTTATAATTTAAACAAACAAAACCAAAGCGTTCAATTGTGTTTTTGTGACACCACCCACATCTTTGATGAAAATTCGGTTCAGAGGACAGCAAAGTCCAAGCAACATTCCCCCCTCACCACTTCTCAATCTTTGTCCTGCCACATTCTGTGTGCACATCCCGCTAAGATTTCCATTCCAAAGTTAAGCAAAAACACAGAAGCATTTTCAGTTAGCATCTCATTGATACTTTGAGAGGCACAGCACTGATTCACAATCTTTTCTTATTCAACCAAGCAACAAATGAATCTACTGAATCTGACCACCTAAAGTCTTTCTAGCTTCTCCATAATAGGTCAGTGGTGAATATACTCTTTTCCACTACCAATGTCTGTGGGAAACTGAACATCACTCTGCTGGTAATAGTTTTTATATCAAAAAGACCCCAAAACGATATAGACTCTTGCCATTGATCTTGGATGTCCACCAGAACTTGTTGGTAGGACCCTACTGCTACAGACACCACACACTTTGTTCACAGGTTAATGGGGAAATCGAACTGTACTGGCCTGGAAGCTTCCCCACTACTGGCTTGCTTTTGTAGCTTTTTGATGCTATGCAGGTTGCTGGAGGAGAAAAGTCATCAATAGTCTTACCTAGCTGTGAACCCTGCAAGCTACAATAACTACCAACCTGGCAAGACATTCCCGTTGCTGCAAGAGTGTCATGGATGCTACAGGGTAACCAACAGCTTCCTAATTGGATATAAGGCTGGCTCCATAGGAGGGAAAACTCACACCTGGTACTGTAAACCTAGCCAAGAACCTGTGGCTAGGAAGATATAGGTTCTAGGAAGAATCTACACCATTATTTTGGTAGACAGACATAATATCAAACTGCCTTCTAAATATCTATCTTTATACCCATAGATTAGTTTAGTGCAGCTAACCCCTCATCAGTGAAGGTTCTTTTTGCACAGTATGGTGAGTAATCTAGAGAGTCACAATTAGTCAAACTGCAAAGAATAAGTGATTACGGAGTGCTCAACTCTGAATGAAGCATCTATATCATAGCTCCTCCTCAGGAAACATCATAGAAGAGAGGGTGGAAAGAGTCTAAGAATCAGAGGTTGGGAAGCACAATAGTGTCTTCTTGACATAATGGTGCTGTTGTATTCATGAACTCACAGTATCTGTGGTTGTCTGATCAAGACCTGCACAAGATCAAGCCAGTCAACACTCCAGCATGTATAGGGGAGTGACTTATAAGGTCCCATCTCTAGCTGAGGCGCTACTGGCCGTTGATGGCTGCTGGGGGAGGGAGAGTCAGTTTTATTTAGTGGTGTGGCCCATGGTAGATTGCCCATGCTCCAGTGGATGGCCCGACACACCTATGCGTATGGGCAGCAGTAACTGGACTCAGTGGGATATTTATGAAGAGAAAAAAGAGGACATGAAATTAGGAATGAGATGTTAGGGGTATCTGGGAGTAGCTGGAGGAGGAAAGTGGGGGTGTACATGATATAAATATATTGTATGAAGTTACCAAGAATAAATAGAAAAAGGAAAATGTTACTCCTAGAAATATTTCCAATTTATAAAATATTTCATTATTAATAAAAAGAATAGCCCAATATTGCTATGTCACTCAAAATGATCGCACTGACATTAAAAGTAACAATGAATTATACCTAAAATTAATTCTCAAAAAGCTTCTTTGCTCAAAATCACAATGACTATAAGAAACTTAAGGCAGAGATTATAAATTAGAGCTTGCAGATTGATCAACGTTCTATCAGCCCTGAGGCATTATGACCATATATGAAATTCATTCACCTAGAATCTTCCATAGAAAACTCTGGCAGCCACGACTAGAGGATTATAAAACAACATGATATATTCCATTATATAAATGCAATCAATGGGAAGATTCTCCTTAAAGTTAAGGAAAATCCTTCTGTTTACATAGGTCAATTTTTCCAGAAAGAGGATCTAGACTGAGAAAACTTCAGTCTTTCACAGGTTACAGAAATTGTCTAAGCCTCAAAGCAAATACCCAGCTACAAGTCCACCACCAGAGTCTCCCTATTTCAAGCATTAACATCTCAATCAATCACTGGTTTCCTTTATTGATCAACATTATTTAAAATCAGAGTCATCAAAACATAAGAAATGGGTCAGTGTACAACAAACCATCTAGGTCCTTAGAATGCCTCACACCAACCCATCAATGTTTACAAAGCTAAAGAATGACTAAATTTTACACAAATTAGCATATGATGGATTAAGTGACTTTTGTATAAGAATCTATTTAAATTTCTATGTTCCTGTAATCTATAATAATTTAGTAATTCACCCCTTATCTCCACCTAAATGACACTACTATAAATTTGAATCTTCTGTTGCAAGAAAAGCATTGGGCACATGGTTGCATTATGCAAAACAAATGATGGGGGGATTGTAAGAGGAGGAAGAGAAAAATGAATGGGGAACATAGGAACACACACACATAGGAACACACACATGCACAGGGAGAGAACTTCAGTATTAGCACAGCCTGGGACTGGCGGTCTGTGGAAGCATGTGGAAGAAGAGTTCATTTAGAAGATTATGTGATGTCACTACCTAGATGACAAGGAGGCGGGAGAATGAGCTTTCTGAATCTGAAACTAAAGTACTAAAGTAAGCCACTTCCTGTTGCACAATGATCTGCTCAAATAGTTTGAGTTCATGCCATGCATGGCGATTCCATGATTCTCTGAGAACCAATCATCCATCTCTGTAGCTACTGACAGGCTGTGATGCTCCATCTGCAGTTACAACTTGGTCTTGTCAAACATCTCTGACAAGAGTGATCCTCTGCCCTCTTCTCCTGGAGTGCTTTCTATTTGCTTCACAATAAGCATTAAAGAGAGGCTGGGGAAAGGGCTCAGTCAGGGACCACGCTGTGCACACATGAGCAACAACAGCCATGTGAGACCCCAGACATGGCAGTGCACACCTATTAACCTAGACCTTGGGAGGTGCCATGTGGGTGCACACACATGCATACACAGACGTGTACACACATATATGTACTTGTAGTATCCCCTGTTAGAGTTGAATAATTTTGTCCTTAGAGTCTAGATTGGATAGTTTCCCAGTATGGGGAAGAGTTCTCTTGCATGTTTTCTAACAATATCTTCCTGCTCTTGATGTATACGGCACAAAGCTTTAAAGCCCACACTTACGTCCACATCGCAGGCATATTCTGATCCATCCAGAAGTATCACTTTGCACTGCATACTTTTGGGTCTTTTCACGATCTTTAATGGGGACCTGGATAGTTTGCTGCTAGATGATTTCTGAGAAAGTTTATCGTCTTCAAATTGCTGATATTCAAGCTGTTTTGCAGCTGCGGCAGCAAAGTCCCGTTCCTTGTCAGTGACCTGCAACAGCAACAATGAGCACTCTTCACTACGAGATAGGAAATAAATATTGCATTGCTCAGGCCAGCATAGCTTGAGGGAGACAGGCTGCTTTCCCATTTCCTAGAGGATGTGAGCTGTCTGAATTAGGATATTAGGAGGAGCTTTGCATATGCAAATATTTATAAAGCTCAGTTCCACCTAACAATTCTGCACATTTAAATGCACCAATAGGACCTTCTTTCATTTGACTCCAAGACTTAATTGAGAAGCCCTGAATCTACAAGTTCAATAAAGATTTCACTAATCAAAGAAGTAAAATGACCTCCTGGCTGTTAAAAGACATTGGATGGTAAAGGCCTCTAAAGCAAATCATCTCGATTGCCTTTTACATATTCGGTTTTCATAATCCATTGGGTCCTTCTTTATTTCTTAAACTATTGTATCTGCTCCCTCTGTATACTTATATCTTATAAATGTTAAGCCTTAGAGAGTTCCAAGTGTAAATCTTTTTAGTAATTTTAAAACTACTAAAATATTTGATTTTGCTCTAAAGTCAATTCAGTGAAATCAGCAGCCCTGAAATTCAACACAAAGTAATCCCCTAAGTCTGTTTCTCTTTGTTATAATGAGCTAGTGTGAGAACAGATCAAATGTGTCTGAAAGCTTTAATCTGCTTTTGAATCCCCGAAGTCTAGTTCAGGCCAATCTCAAAACTGCATAGGACAGCCTATGGAATGGAAATTCTGAGTCAGCCTCCCTGGACATCTCTCTGAATACTGCTCCCCAGTTAAGTCTCTACACCCTTCTTCTATTTGATGACTAGGATGGTGGTGTGCAAAGTTGACCAATGGTTGGATGGCCTGCTAACATTAACGAACACTGCACAGAAACATGCATACTAACAGTCAAGGTAGCTCCTGGAATAAGCATGGGTCTTCTTCAAGCACAGATAAACCATCAGCCTGGAGCTAAAAATGCATGGACTCTTGAGTAAAGACAGAATTGATGAGTTTTTAAATTTATTATTATTATTATTATTATTATTATTATTATTATTATTATTATTTGGTCTTTTTGAGTCAAGGTCACCCTGTAGCCCCAGTTGTCTCAGAACTCACTATGTAGACCAGGCTGGTGTTGAGTGCATTGCCTGCATGTCTAGAAGTGCACTCGTGTCATGCAATGCCTGTGGACGTCAGAAGAGGGCATTAGATCCCCTGGAACTGGAGTTAGGATGGTTGTTAGTCCCCATGTAGGTGCTAGAAATCCAACCCTTGTCCTCTGCAACAGCAGTCAATGCTCTTAATTGCTGAGCCAACTCTCCAGTCCCAGAAGTGATGATTTATCATTTCAACTTTTACTAGTCTCTATTACGTCAAAGCCACAGTAGATTTTGGTGTATATATTTTAGACTAGGTACAGCTTTCTGCTTTCTCTGCATTTTCCACTTTGTTTTCCAAGTATAAGACTGCTAATACAGCAGCGTGGTCTACATAGTGAGTTCCAGGACAGCTGGGGCTACAGGGAGACCCTGTATCAAAAAGACCAAAAAAAGATTGTTAATACAGGGTCTTCTTCTACCACCTGTGTCTAGGAATGACAAGCAGTCCTTAATAATAGGAAGAGACCAATTTGCCAAGTTCATAAAAACAAGCCAAGAAAAACATGAGTAATTTTGAGGCATAGTGATGCACATCTGAAACTCCAGGAGGATTCCAAGTTCAAGGTCTAGGTTCTATGTCTAGAGCTTGTCTCAAAACCCAAACAAACAAACAAATAAACAAAACTAAACTGCCAACTCAAAAGCAAAAACAGTTGAAAAAGCAAGCTCCAACAAGTCAATAAACCAAAGAAACACATTCTGACTATTTGGTCCAATTTCTTTGTCACCCTTTCTGTATTAAAGCATTAAATGATCAATGTAAGAAAACAAAATGTCGTCAGTTTGGCCTTGCAGTAGTTTATGGAGAAGTTTGATAATCCTGGAATTATGTATCAACAATCATAATATTATCTTGTTAGGTACTTTATAATTTATATGCAACCTTTACATAATTTATATCTTCATTATTACTGCAAAGGTATACCGAAGCTACATTTTATTTTTAACTTTTATTTGGAATCAACTTTTACTCTATATTACAAAAGATATAAAATTTTGTCCCCCCCACAAAGTATCTATATGAGAATAATATTTCTGGGTTGCATAAGCATCAACTGCAAACAATGTTTGTTTGCTTTGTGTTGACCTTAAACTACCAGCGCTCAAGTGACAGGTCTTGAAAGTAGACTCTACCACTGCAGTTTTTACAAGTCATTTTAAAAACAACTTTAACAGTCCTAGAAAAACAGACCAAGTGTCTCAAATGAAGTGTTGACTATAGTAAAGTATTGCATTACAATTTCAATATATCGCTGACAGTCATTTTGGCAAATCTTCCACCTCACTCAATCCTCCTGTCCCCTAGGATGTATATAGAGTATTGCAGCCTTCATTTGCAAATCAGGCCAGACAGGCCCAGGGAACCTGGGAGGCTTTCTGAAGGCCCGAAAACAAGAAAATCTAAATCTAGCCCCAAACATGTTTCAATCATTACTATATGCCACTAATGCACTTAATTTTATCTCAAACATTGCTTCCTGGTATGAAGCAAAAACCTTTATGGAGAAACTTTAGGAATGATCGCTTATGAACTATTCAGTTTGCAGAGAAAGGAGCAACATGGGGCCAGGTGCCTGTGGGTCCTCTGCAGCTAGCAAGGATGCAGGCAGACAGGGCTTGCTCAGGCCTCTTCCCTGTGCACCCAGGCACCTTTCCCTCTGCCGCTTCAGTATCTTCTCTCCAGTTTCAAACATCTAACTACAGGAGATGATGTACAGGCATGCCCTGCATGACACCACGCAGACCACATATACTATGGCAATCCCTTATGATGTAATGGAGCTGAACATGCTAGGAGGGCTTAGGTGGGAGTTGGAGAAGGGAAATATGTTTCATTGTATGTGTGTATGAAATTCTCAGAGAAGAAAAATCAATATAAAAAGATATAGTGGAACTGAAAAATCCCAACTGCTTGGTGGTGTCATTGCCACCGTCAAGCCATGCCAGGCACTGCTCACCTGTCTGTGACGATCCTCCACTAGCAGTTTTCTCAGAGCTTAGCTTACGCATTATGCATAGCACAAAGCACTTGATAATGACAGAGAATTACCATAATAGTGATTCACATATTTACATTCCATTTTTAAAAAACATTTTCTTTATTATTTTTATATTATGTGTATGCGTGCATTGCCTGCGTGTAGGTATGTGCACCCATGTCGTGCAATGCCTGCGGAGGACAGAAGACAATGTCAGATCCCCTGGAACTGGAGTTACAGACAGTTGTTAGCTGCCATGTGGGTGCTGGGATTTGAACCCAGGTCATCTTCAAGAACAACCAGTGTTCTTAACCGCTGAGCCATCTCTCTAGCCCCTTACACTCCATTTTTAAAGAACAGTTTATAGTGTCTTACTTATAAAAGTTTATTCTAAAACAACATGCTGTTATGACAGTAGCAATACACATCTCATGCTTGTCAGGTCTCTTGACTGCATCATTTTATTTTCTTTCATTTATTCTTGGATAGGCTTGTGTATCATTGCCCTAGGAGAAATAGGCCATATATATGCATGTGTATACATAATATATATTACGTATTTGTATGCATATACATATATGTATGCACATACACATAGGCATGATAGCAGGCTATACTATCTGCTTAGTGTACTCTGTGATGATCACACAGTGAAGAAACTGTCCAATGACATATTTCTCAGTAGGTATGTAACCTATTCTTAAGCAATGCACAACTATAGTGAATCATGTCTAGACATCACTACTCAACAGTTTCTATAATTATCCATTTTCATGCTACTCATTTCAGAATTAAGAAAAAAATCATAAAGCTAATAGTCTAAATTATTTTTAAAAATTTACAAACTTTTATTTATTGTATTTTTTATTTCATGTGTATGATTGTATTGCCCACATGTATGCAAGTGCACCTATATTGTGCAATGCCCATGAAAGTCAGAAGAGGGCACGGGATCCCCTGGAACTGGAGTTATGGATGGTTGTTAGCTGCCATGTGGGTGCTGGGAACCGAACCTGGGTCCTCTGCAAGAGCAGCGAGTGATCTGAACTGCTGAGCCATCTCTCCAGTCCCTAAAAGTTTTTAATATTAAAGGAAATGAAACAAATGCACAAGGAAAATCTTATACCTTACTGCCATCACCTCACTGAAAAGGAAGGAAAATGTAATGGGCAGCAGGACACCACAACTACAACAATGCCTTAGGCTTCATTTGCCAGGCAGAGATGGTAACCCAGCTCTCAACATGAAAACTTCTAAGGTTAAACAAAGCTTCTATCAATAAAGTGAAAGCAAATGCTATTACTAACGCTGTTTAAAATCTATGTGATGATAAAATTCCCTATCTTTTTGGCAGTATTTAATGTTATAAAAATGTATTATGATGTTGTGAATTCTAGAGACTTTTACTCACATGCTAATTTCATGTCCCTCCTCTAAACATCTTCTGAGGTTTCTAATAACACAAACCTTCAGAACTCTAGTCAGTCACTTCCAGGACTCCAGACTTCTTTGTCATGTACAAGTTAGTATCTAAAACATGCTGATTCTGGGTATGAAGTTTTAAGACAACACTGATTCAAGGCCTGGCCATACACTGTGCTTTAGTAATTTGATTTTTGTTTACATATTTTTGTACTTTCACATTTATTTATTTATACTTGGTAATACTGGGGATGGGACCTAACTTTCAGATGCTTTTCAGATGCACCATTGAGCTCTATCTCCAGCCCAATGAATGAAAATCTTTAAAAGAAATAATTGCGTATGACATCTCAAACATGTTGAACCTATAAGATGTTACGGGGAGGGAATGGGCTCTATCTGAATAGTCACTTTAGGCAGATAGCAACATGCAGGTCAGAATAATGCCTGGAAAAATTACAAGAGCCCTTTATAGCTTCAAATAAAAACAGCCAGATGCACAGTTTGGAGCTGTTAGCTTTCCGTCTACTGTTCCTGTAAACTCAGGAACAGGCAAAATCTATAGTCATGATTTTGAATCATGTGTGAATGTAACTATTTTAATCAAAGGCAGGAGGTACCAGGCTAGGCTGGGCAATGTCACTCACTGAAATCCTTCAATAGCATATATTGTCATCTCCCTGGGCTAGAAGGCGAAAGCAGGTGACCTTCACAGTTGCCTCTAGGCCTGAGAACTGGTAGCACAGCTCTGCCCAGGGCCTGACTGTCCCTTCCCAGAGATGCTCTAGGCTCACCTCCTTCCGCACAGGGGTGCTGTGCGCAGCAGCGGCTGGGAACTGTTCCAATGCTGGAGGTTCCTCACTGCTCCCGCTCACAGGCTCTGGCCCAGGCTGAGCCCCTGCCTGCCCCTGAGGCCCTGCTGCCTCCTGGGGCTCAGCCTCCTGGTCCGGCTTAGATTCTGAGTCTGATCCTGATTCAGTCGTCATGGTTGATTGTTCTGCAATCAGGAAAAAAAAAAAAAGCAAGAGCCCGTCACTCAGTACAATTACCTTCTAGAATAACCAAGATGCTAAGCGTGAAAAGGCTGAGAGGAAAGAGAGGAGCAACAGCCAAGCACAGTCCTATACTGCACATCAGAGACACAACGGGGCAAAGGTACCACAAGAACAGTGTTCACAATGGTTCAAAATGGACAAGTAACTCATACTGAAAGCTTATCTGCAATGATCAACAGGGCCTCTTCCTTTTAGATGGTGGCTACAGATGATTACAAATGACATTTCAAAGATGTACACTAATCAAACAGCAGATTTAGTTTCAGAAAAGTATTTGCTGAAAAATGTGTATTTTATTGCCTCTGAAGGATGATCTGATCAGATGAGACATTCCATCTTCTCATCTCTACACAGTACTCTCCCACCCCTGAATCAATGGAATCTTCCAGAACCAACAAATGTGTTTCCTAGTTGTTTTCTCCTAATTCTGTTAGCCCTTTTTGAATTAAAAAGGCTGTCTATCTGACGAGTTTGTATTCATGCTCAGATGCCGAGGAGCTCAGAAGGTGGGTGACTGTGACCAGTGATAGTCATGTATATAGAGATTAGAAATGCATGTGAAAACGTCTCAATGTCAATTGCTTTGGAATGAATTCTTCTGTATGAAAAAAAAAATAAAAAAATAATGATTAAAAAACAACAACAACAAAAAAAAACAATGGTTTTATTTCCTCAGGGCTGTGGGCTCTTCTATTATTGGGAGGGATGCTGGGTATCCCCTCTTCCTTTCTCCCTCCTTTAATCTCCTTCCTGGCTTCCTTCTACTGGGATGAACTCTGAACAATGACTCTGTCTCATAATTCCCAAGAAATTTTAAAAGATCAAACAAAAAAAGTAATGGATAATGTATTGATACACTCTAAAAACAAAGCCTTGAACACAAACCAACCATCTTCTAATAGCGTACTTGTCAAGATAAGCATTTTGTGCCTCAGTTTCTACATGTGCCAAGTGAGAGAACGAAACATGACCATACCTGAAGAACTGACTTACTTGGTAACTTCCTTCTCCTACAAGCAGATATGCCCCCATGTTTTAAAGCAGATTCACTCCTACGTTTTAAAGCTGAATTTTGCTACAAGCAGCAAGAGAGCTGCTATGTCAAGTAGACAGGACATTTTAGGTTAGTTAGCATATGTGAGGGGACTATTCTAGAAGCAGTATCTCTTATAATTAATCCCATTTCATAATCCCAATTCCATGGTAAAAAAAACCCTGAGCAAAAGTTAGTATAATATCTTAGGTAAATGACATACTTACTGGTATATGAAATATGCAAAATATGACTAATAACTATCATAAACCCATTATTTAGTTCCTATCTCTCCAATGCAAAGTGGACTATGCTTGATAATTTTAAGAAGGGAATATTATAAACATTAATCAAGCGCTTTACCCATGCTTTTGATGTTACTTTTCAGTAACTAGCTATCCTTGGGATAAAAGACACATCACCTTGCCGTGTGCTGAGCTGACCAAAGCAATGTAAATATCAAGCTGAAGCCCAGAGCAAGAGAATAAGCCAGACTTTTCCCTTTCCCCTTGCATTACATTTTAGATTTTCAAGCAAATCTCGAGAGCAAACATATTTTCCTGGTATGCTTATCCTGGAAACCTGCTGTAAGTACAAAGATCACCGTGAAGGAAAAGGAAGGAGTTGGTATTGAGGAATTCAAGGTCCACATTGAATTCCAGGTTTTGGAAGGCAAAGGATTAATTTTAGTTAATTCAACCTAAGCAAGCATGTACTGAGGACCAAATATAAGCCAAATAATGCCGTGAAGACAGTGAGCAAAGACAGCACTGTAGCCACCCTCCACACCTGTGCATGCAATGCCCACGGAGGTCAAAAGATGGTGTTGGAACCCATGGAACTGGAGTTATGGATGGCTATTAACTGCCACATGGGTACTGGGAACTGAACCTTGGTCCTCAGCAAGAACAGCCAGTGTTTTTAACTGCTGAAACATCTCTCCAGTCCCAAGAAAAAAAAAATTTAAATGCTCTATTTTCCCCATATCAATACAGTTCTTACATATAAATCCTACTCATATTATCAAAATAATTCTGGATATCATCAAGGCCTTTTAATATGTTTTATGAATATCATATTCAGAATACCAATTCTGAGTGGCTCAACAAATTGAGTTATTACTTAATAACTGGATGCTCAAACTGCTATTGTGAGAAAGTGAGAAGGCAACATGTGAGGGTACTTGCCACCAAGCCTGATAACCTGAGTAGGATCCTCAGGCATCCACACAGAAGGAGAGAACCGACTTCTACAAATTGTCCTCTGCTCTTCACATGTGCACTGTGGTATGCATACATGCACACAATAATAATAATAATAATAAATAATAACAACAACAATCATAATGATGAAAGTTTTAGGGTTGGCGAGATAGCTCAGTGGATCACGGCACTTGCCACCAAACCTGAAGACCTGAGCTCTATATTCTTCCACTGGTGGAAGTAGAGAACCAACTCCTACAAGCTGTCCTCTGCCCCTCACATGCATGTGTGTTCCCCCTCCATACAATAAATACAAGCAATAATATTTAAAATACATAAGCCTTACAAAATAGAACTTAAGAATCTTATTTCAGACTGTTTCTATTCATTTCACCTTACAATTTAATGGACATAGTCCATGAAAATAACTGTCAGCAAATACATTTTCATGTATGATGCTGTATGAGCAACTTAGCTATTTCAGTCTCATTTCCTTTTCTGACTAGACTAAATGACTAAACTAAAGCAAGAAGAACTAAGTTTCTCCCTGGTTAGTAAAATAAGATAGGTGCAGAGATGCAGGTGGGGGAAGAGAAGGAAACAGAGGAGCAGGTCCTTCCCTGAAATCAGAAAATCTGTCACCCTTCGCAGTCTTTGCGCAAGTTTTTTTTTTTCCTTTTTCTTTTCAATGTAAGAACGTATTTTAAATGAAGTTGCAGCACATATCCTTCAATGTACTGTGAACTCGCAGTTAAAAAGTTATCAAATATGGAGACTGGAGAGATGGCTCAGTCAGTAGAGAGCTTGCCACGCAAGGAAGCACAAGGATCCGGTTTGGATCTCTAACACCCACGTAAAAGGCAGGTTGGCAGGCCATCTACAATCTCAGTCCTCGGAAGGCAGAAAGAAGGGCAGATCCCCAGAGCTCAAAGGCCAGTCAGCCAGCTGAGTCAGTTGAGTCCCAGGTTCTGTGAAAGACATGTCCTAAAACATAAGATGGAAAGTGACTGAGGAAGACACTGAAAGTCAACCTCTGGTGGCCACATGCACATGCACACACGCAGCTGCATTTATATAGTACACACACGCATGCTCACATGCACACATACACACAAATGTTATCAATTATGTGCTAAAACAGGAATCTCTCTAAATAGGACAATAATCCATGAACTCACTAAACATGAAATAGAAGGAAAAACTGAAGGAAATATTCTAATTTTGATGTCAATGTTAGTATTCTAGACATGAAATCATTTTGTTCCTGTGTTGTAGCTAATTGTAAGACTCATCTCTAAGGCAGAGAGCCTGCCACATGCAAGCTGAATAAAAATGCAAAATGGATAAAGTCCAACAGTCACTTATCAGCTACTTAAATAAGAACTAACCTACCATTAATTTTTACCCATGAGTATTCCATCTAATATTTTGCCTGCTATAAACCACAGAAATTCAAACCTTAAAAATATTTGTATGCCCTTGTCAAGTCATTCTAGGTATATTACTTTGCCCATTCCTATATAACAGAGTGAAAATCATTGCTATATTCTGATAACCTTATATAAAATAGAACTTTCAAGGTTACAGCAAAGTAACAAGCCTTAAAAATGCAATTTTTCTTAACTCTGGAATATCCCTGGAATCAATATCCAATTCCACATATCTAAAAGGCCGTAAGTTCATCTTGCATCCAAAAACATGAACCTGTATTGGTGGCCTAGATCAGTAAAATCAGTTAAAAAAAACCTTAATACTTTTCTTCCCTACCCATGTGTCAATATAACCAAGAGGAAAACTGATGTTTTTAATTGCATACAAAACCAAACAGCTAAAGACCATACTTCTAACATTTCAGTAAGTTTTTAGTGCACCCCTTCACTATTGTGCCTAAATATCAAAGTATTTTTTTAAAACTAGATTTCCATGGGACTGGAGAGATGGCTAAGTGGTTAAGAGCACTGGCAGCTCTTGCAGAGGACCTGGGTTTGGTTCCTAGCATCCACATGGCAGCTAACAACCGTCCTTAACTCCAGTTCTAGGAAATCCAACACTCTCTTCTGACCTCCACAGGTACTGCACGACATGGGTGCACTTACATGTAGGCAATACACTCATACACCTAAAATAATTTAAAAAATAAGATATTTAAACTAGATTTTTGTAATATTTACCACTGCCTTGGCTCTTTAGACAGTTTCTCACTTTCTTGCTGATTTTCACACTAAAAGCTCCACCTCCCCCTTTTCATCTTACCCAGGACTGTCTTCCAAGGTCCCTTTCTCTTCTGGTGTACTCATGGTGATACAAACTACCAATTATATCAGTTATTGGAGCAAACACTCTCACTTGCAGTTACCAGTAAAAATTTACAGCCACTTTTGAAAGAGATGTATCCTTGCTCTGGAAATTGTTATTGAATATGTTAAAGCTGTATTGAAACGCTTCTTCTAATCATGTGGTTATTAAATTTAAAAAAAGTTTTACTGAAAAAAATGATATAAAATGCATATGCTTGGCATTGACTTAAACCAAGTCCATTTTATATTAAATTTACCTTATTAATTGTATTTTGGCTAGGCAAAGAAGGTTTAATTTCTTAGAAAGGTGTAGTGGTTTAGCCCCGTAATCTCAGCACTTGGGAGGCTGAAGCAGGAGGATTACACACAAATTCAAGGTTATCTTAAGCTATAGAACGATACTCTGTCTC